TTCCATTGTGTGTATGTACCATAGTTTGGTTATCCATTCCTCAGTTGATGGACATCTAGGTTGTTTCCATGTTTTGGCTATTGTAAATAGTCCCACACAACTTTTCAAAAGCTAATATCAATTAGCTGTATTACCTCTTTTCAATAAAGAAAAGATCTAAGAAATTTGAATCCATTTATTTCTGAAATAGAATATTGTTAGTGCATTTTATTTCTTATAAAGTTTAAACTTTGTACACATTATGATTAGTGTTTTAACAGTCAATATTCATTTAAATGTTTGTACATATTTACAACCCCATTAATACAGATTCCTCCCTGGATCTCTAAACTCCCATTGATAACAATTATTCTCATGCTTAAGAAATAAATTTTGAAACATTCTTTGATATAATTTTGCTACAGATAAATGTCAATTTTTTTTTTGCCTAAAGATTGTTTTATTTTATATTTATTTTATTTTTATATTTATTTCTTTTTTAAAATATATTTTAAAACTATGGAATTCTACCTTAGCTGTTTTGTTCATTTGTTTTTTCTTCCTTGAAGACCTGTGAAAATATCATTTAATTGTGTTCTGGTTTTCACTTTTTGGTTCAGATATCAGCTGTTAATCTTAATATTGCTGTTTTAAAGGTAATATATCTACTGTCTTAGTTTGCATTTGTAATTTTCTCTGTCTTTGGATTTTTCTTGTGTATATTTTCTTTCTCAAGATTTTTTGCTTACTAAATATTTGATATAACTTGTTTTGAAAGATTCACAAAATACTTAGTCATTTTTTCATTAATATTTCCCCCCTCTATTCTCTATGTGCTTTCCTATTTGACTTAACAATTTCACTTATACATTTTATTCATTCACCACCCATTACACTATCACTATTTTAAAATTACCACTGTTATGTATCTATCTAATATTCTAGATACTTGTTTTATAACTCATAATTGATTTTCCCAACTTTCCCTTAAATGTACTTATATCATCCTGTTCTTATTTTGAAATATATTCTTAGGTCCTTTATGGTTTCTATTGTGTCCAGATCTTTGGCAATAATATTAACATTTTATTTTAAGTACCTTAAATATGTAGATTTTAAAATTTTATCTATTTTCTCTATTATTAGTAGTAATATTTTATTTTGTCTCATTTCTTAACTGCTTATTAGATTCTTCTGGACATGTGATATTAAAAAGATAGACATTATTTGACACTTAGAGGAATATTATATCTCTTCAGAACCCTGTTCATTCTTGTTTTCTTGTAAAAGATTAGAGGACTCAGAATGCCTGAAATATTTCAATCCCTCTGGAGTCCAAACCTTTTTAGCTTCATCCTTACACCTGTGACTTAGCCCTTCTGGGTTCAGGTCCAGAACCTAGATTGTTTCCCAGAATCACTCTCCTTTGCAGATGTCACTTTCTAATTTTAGTTATCTTTGCACAAAAAATCTGCACCAATATCTTCTCAGCCTTTCATCCTCTCAACATGCTGTTTTGTAATTGGCAATTTCCCCTAGACATAATGGCATCCTATTTTCTAAACTTAAATCTTCATGTATCATTGTTCTCATATAAATTGACTCAGTTATTACGTAATGTTCTTATTCCTGTTTGCCTTCAGACATTTTAACTTGACTTTCTAGTTCTCCTGAGTATAAAAATTGGTCCTCCTTTTCTAATTCATCATCATTAAATTAAGTTTGTCTATCAATTCAGTGTCATAACGATCTATATGTGTTACTCTTACAGGTATAATTTATAAAGAGTTTCTGAATATGAAACATCACAGGTTCCTATAAAGCCATAGTTTCCCCTTCTATATTTCTCATTAGTATATTGTTGTTATTAATTACCTTTGAGTCTGGTCTGCCTCATGGTAAGCCCTTGTATAACAGAACAAAATGTTGCCTGGTCCTACACTATCTTCCCTACAGTTGGTATGCTCAGATGCATTGCTTTTGCCACTCTGTATTTTGAGTGCCTTCCAACCTAGA